TATTATTTAGACTGCTGTTTAATTTTTTTTAAATCATTTAAATTAAAAGTAAAAACAATATAAAAATATATTGAAATTGCTTTTTATTTTATAAAATATAAATAAAAAATAAAAGTAAAATAATAATGTTTAAATAAAAATAAAAATTTTCAAAAAATAAATTAATTAAAAAATAATTAAAATTATATTGTAAGTATTAAATTATTTAAATAACAATAATAGTCACAGGATATTTCCCTTAATCAAGACTCAAAATGTTATTTTTATAATACAATTTATATTGTGTGTAACAACAACGGGAGGGAAATGTCCCTTAACTGATAAAAATAATAAGTTTTATTATTTATAGCCACTACTGTAAGATTTATCAACTGTATCAATTAATTAATAATAGTTAATAGACTGTTTATAATTAATAAAAATCTGTACATATAGTAAAGTTAACTTAAAAAAAATTTTTTTCTATTGTATTAATCTATTTACTTAATAAAAAAATTATATAGCTAGATATATTATAGTTGTAATTAATAGTTTATTATTAAAAACTCTCTCTTGATCATATTCATTTTGTTAAAAATTTTTCTTTTATGATAATTTTAAGCAAAAAAAAATGATTTACTCTTTTTATTGCAAGTAAGTCCCAGCTTAGGAACTCAAGAATCTCCAAAACAACTAATACAGTGGGATAGGACCTTTAGTCAAAGTCTATTCAAGTTTGGGAATCTTGCTCATTCTTCAGTTGCATGAGGAAAGGCCCATGATAATTCTCTTTTCTTTAGTTCTCTTGTATCCCTCCTTACTCTTATCTTATTATAAAAACTATACACATCATTACTATCATACTCACTAAGTCAAATACTTTTTAAAATACACACTCAAACAGAGTTAATAGGTCTACTATTTGTTTCAAGTCAACCCTTATACACAATATCTTCATAGCAATATCTGCTGTATCACTTTCAATCTTTAAAAATTTTTCACACAAAAAACTGAAATCAGTTTATTCCTTCAGATGATCAGCATTCTCTAATTATCCAATTAGATTTTGCTTAAAGATCAAAACAAAATCCAAACAAGCTCAAACTGGTTTTGTATCATAACAACAATCACAACAACAACAACAACTAACTCACTACCAACAACTATAACAACAAACAACTTCACTTATACTTCATTATCTATGGTAATCAAAAAGCTGGAGAGATGGGATCATAAGCCTGTCCAGGGGTTTTCTTGGAGAAATAATTGATTTTTTACTTATAGATTTTATAGTTTATTTGATGCAGTTTTGGTTATAGTTATATTTGTTTTCTTCTTAATTATTATATATTCAAAAAAATAAAAGAATTTGCAAAATTTCCTGGGATGGTAGGCATAGCTGCTACTTAGCCTTATCTAGTACATTAATATTGATTTTGAATTTTTTTATGATATTAGTTAAATATTGATAAGTAAGCAACCTAGTATTTAACTTTCCTGAAATAATGAAAGAAATATTGTTTCTTTTAATGATATATACCTTGTTATATACAAATCAAAATAAAGAAATGATATTTACCTACTGGGGAAATCCTCAAAAAAACTTTTTCCTGTTCTTTTCTATTTTTTTTGAAAAACTTTTTTTTTAGAAAATTTTAACAAGACAAAAAAGAAGACTTGTTAAGTTAATTTTTTTTCAATGAACCCTTTTCTCTTTCTTTACCACTATCAAAAATAAAAACTTTTTTTTAAAAAAAACTTCTGGTTGTCTCTTTTTTGTTAAAAATATAAAAGGTTTAAATGGAGTAGTCTTAGGTATTATATGCAGAAGATCAAATTCTAGACTTATTGGATAAAAGACTAGTTTCTTTTCTTTAAAATAAAAAGTTATCTCTATTAAAACTGATACAATAAATTTACTACATTTCAAGTTCTACTACATATGAGCCAACTTTAAAAGTTTGATTAAAAAGACTTAAGTTGTATAAAGATAGGACTCTTGATCAGATTTATCAAAACTTGGGCACCTTAATAATGAAAGTTGTATAAAGAAAAACTTTTGGTTTGATTTTTTTTTTGCTCACATATATGGATATAGAAAAACTGAAATCAATTTACTCCTTCAAAAGATCAATAAATTCTTTTCCATCAATCACATCTTATAAAAATTATATTATTCATCATTAATATTACAATAATAATAATAATAACAATAACAATAATAACAATAATAACAATAATAGCAATAATAGCAATAATAATTTATTATGTGTTAATAGTTAATTTACAATTTTGAAGAAATCAATGATGAGAACATTAATAGATTGTACCTTTATAGTTTTTAAATAGAAAACTGTATATGTAGGAGTTGTATCCTGCTTGATATTTTTGTCTCTATATTTGGCAGCTTAAGCTAATTGAATCCTTTGAAGTATTTACTAGAATATTTTGAAGTTGCGTTTCACTTGACTATAGGGTTTCTAAATTTGGTAATTTGTATTAACAAAAGATTATAGTTTCAAATATTTATTAGAAAGTACATATCTATATTTAAATTCTTTTTGAACCCATAGCCATGTAAGCCAAAGTTGTGATGTAAAGAATTATTTATTAATTATTAATATATAACAAATTAAATTGTTTTTTTTTTATCAATATTTTTGAGTAGAAATTTTAGCTATTTAATACTATTTTAAATATATAATAATTTTAATAATTGTTTTTTTTACTACTTAGATAATTATAAATAGTAGGTGAGCTAGTATTAAACTTATTGATCAATTGGTCATATAAGAGATGTTGTTACTTTCTTTTTGTAATAATTTTTTAATTTTACAATTTAATAAAGTGATATTGTTTTTCTATTTTTAAAAATATATATATATAATAATTAAATTTTATTATATTATTTATTATTATTATTATTTTAGCTTTTTTTAATATTATTTTAATATTATTTTATGAATTTATTTTTGAAATTATTATTAATAGAAAAAAATAATATTATAATTTAAGATGGTTATCCCTTAAATTATAAGATATTTTTTTTATAACATTTAAAATTTTTTAGCTAAAAAGTTGCTTTTCATTTATTTTTTTAAACAATAAAAATATTTTTCTAAAACTTTATAAAATATTAGTTTTAATTATATATTATTTATTTAATAATAATTTAAAGTTTAATTATAAGAAAAATTTTTTAATAAAAGTTGATCTTAAATAAACTTAAAAATTTTTAAATTAAAATTTTTATAATTCATAATCAATTTTGTAGAATTATTTGTAAAGAATAATTTTAATTATTACAATTTTAATAATTGAATTATAAAAATTTTAATTTGTATTAAAAGTAAAATAAATTTTTTATTTTAAAATATACCAAATTTTATATAATTTTTTATATTAAAATTTTAAACACAAAGTTTAAAGTTATTTATTTTAAAAATTTTTAATAAAATTTGAATTTTTTATTTAATAAAATTAATAAAGAATATCTTAAATCAAATTTTTTATAATATAAGTAAATTATAAAAATTAATATTTAAAATTTTAATAAAATTTTAAATATGCAAACATATTGTCTGTATTACAATTTAAGAAATATATTAAAGATTATATAATTATATAATTAACTTTAATAAAGAAAAAAAAATAATTGTATAACTTAAAATAATATATTTATTGTTTTGCTTTTTTGAAGAATAACATTAATATAAATTCTTTATAATTGTAATTATTATATTATTTGATCTTTATTTTCTTTCTAAATCTTTAATAAAATTTTCTTTTATCTTTATTATTAATTTAATAAATTTTTATTAATAAATTCTTTATTTTTATAAATTAATTAACATAAATATTTTGATATACTGTATGTAATTATATAAGAAGAATAGTTTTTAGAATATTAATTGTTATAGAATTATTAAATAATAATATATTATTATTGATATAGAAAAAACAGTTTATTTTATTATTTGTATTTAAAACTAATTAAATAATATTCCAATTATTTAAAAATTTAATAAAGAATTATTTAAAACAAAAAAATTTTTAAAAAGTTTTATTATTTGAATATAACATTTTTTGCTATAAGATTTTTTTAAATTTTTCTTATATTTTAAATTTAATATTTAAAACTTGTATTATCACAATATATGTTATATTTTAAATTATTATTTAATATAAATTTATAATTTTTTTTTATTATTTACTAAAATATTATAGTATAATATTTTTTATCCAAAAATAAATAATTAAATAATAATAATAATAATTAAATACTTTATTTTTTTAAAAAACTATTGATAAATAACATATTAAATATCTAGTATTTTATATTAAGAAAGTTAGAAGCAAGACATCATTTATCATTAATTAAGGAAACTTTATTAAATTAGAAAGGAATCAAACAACTTTACTAATAAAGAATATGTTATTTTATTAATTAAAAGTATTTAAAAAATTCATCATGTCAATTGTTAATTAAATTTTTAACAGATTTATTTATTGTATATAAGAGGCAACATTGAGATTAATGAGAAGACAAAGAAAGAGTAATTATAAAAGAAAAATGATATGGATATAAAATTTTTTGATTATAAATAAAAAAAGAGAAAAAAAACAACAAATTAGAAAAAGAATACATCAATAGGTAAAAATAAAGAAAACCAAATTTGAAAAAGAATGTACGTGCTAACTTTATTATTTATGAACACAGAAAAAAAGAGATTTAACATAATTTTTTGGTTCTGATATGCCAATTTATTGAATTCTACATTATTCAGATTTGCCGCATGTAAGGTTTGGATACAATATTCAGATTTGCCGCGTGTGAATTTGAAAAGGGCTACTAAGATATTAATAATTTTAATTAGGCTTGTAATAATAATCTTAAATAGTAAATGAAGTCTAATTTTATATTTGTTTGAAATAAAACATTATGAAATTAAAGTTACTTTAATGAGGTGCATAATATATAATTTACTTTTTTGGCTTAAATTCTATCTTTACTTTATGCCTTATTTTTTGTTATGATTCATACTGTATATTCTGTCATCCACTACGATCTCATCCGCAGGTCGAATGACACATCCTCTGTGGCACACATGCTCAACGTTTTGTCTTTGAGGACAAGGCGTTGATGTCACGGCCAATAATTCAGAGATGAAGTTTTCCGGAAAGCACTGCAAGAACTCGTTATCCGCCTCTGTCGGTGCATTACATAATTCTATTTCATCTATGATGTCATAAAAATTAGATTTATCCAACAGAATGTTTAATGGGGTCGGTAGTCGAACACTTTCGTGAATTTTTCTTCGGTTTCGGGGTTGCGGGCCGCGTCTTTTTTTCGGCAAGGAAAAAATGCAGGTGTCATTTTTTTTTAAACACCCATTACATTTGGCATTGTTTTCAATGTAAATGCATTTTCTGCGCAAGGTCTGGCACCGGACGCACGCATGTGTTGCATTTTTTCTTTGACACAGCGTTTTATTTTTTGGCATAGTGATGTGACGAATAAAAAGGATACCACACCGCGAAATAATTAAAATTCTTATATTCTTAAAATTAAGAAAATAAGCAATAAGCAGAACGAAAAATGAGATGGATAGATATAAATTTATAGTTTTTTTTTAATCGATCGATCGAATCATTTCGCGTCGCTCTACATTGGTGCATAATGGTTAATAGCCACACCAAAAGTAATGGGGGTTTTTCCGCATTTTTCATTTCATGATATTACAAACACCATATTGTTCTGCCTTATACAAAAATGACAGATATTCAGCATGTAAAATCATTAACAAGCCAAACATAAATTTAACTTTTAATAATTAAAAATAATATTCCAAAAATTTAATATTTTTTATGTTAATTAAGAAATAATAATTGACGAGATTTTCCCGGGGATTGTACAGAGCTCCATAAAATAAGAAGCCGGTGCGTACCGAAAGATAGTTCCTAATTTGTTTTTATTATACGAAAATAGTAAGTTCGACGCTGTCTAAAGAAACGAGCTTGTACGGTATGGAAATTTCTATTACATAGAATTATGTGAGGTTTCAAGGAATATAAATTTCATAGGTGATATATTGTATTGTGTAATATCGGAGCTTTATCCTCATTAGATACACCAGGTACACCAATGCGAATATTTGGTAGTTTGTCCGAGCAAGGCAGATTTTTAAGGTATGTGACACAAAAGTTATGTTTTTGACACGTCACCAATAAATACATCTTCGAATTTTCTATCCTCCCGCCATGTGAGTCAGACCATTACAATAAGAAAGATGCATACATATTTCTAAATTATATAATCTATGTCACATATTTAAATATTGATTGGTTAATTATATGCGTAAGTTGTTTATTGTTCATTTAATTCTATCCCCTAATAAACAATAAACGAGTCCTCAATAAACATGCTGTTCATTTGTTTAGTTTATTGAACTAACAACACTGTTTTAGAACAGTCACTCTCTATATAAGCATATCTCTTAATTAGCACACTTTTTTTACGATATATCGTATTTTTAATTTTACTTTGGACTTATAATAATTTTCATTTTCTATTAATATTCACGTAAGAAGTACTATATATGAATTTGTGGAATTTCGGAATAATTATCTCTAAAAAATTTTTAGAAATGATTATATACTATGATTACAATAGATCAAAGCCGTAACTACGCATATACTGTACCAGTCAGTACCTTATAATATTATTTATTACGATAGAATACGTGATTGGGTTTTAAGACTAACAGTATCCAAATAGTTGGAATGAAATCGTGAGCCAAAAATGATCTTTAAATGGTCTATTTAACTTTAAAGTTACATATTACGTAATGATGTGCTGTGAAACATTTATTATTATCGGATGCAAATTCGACACTAAAGGAAGACAACATTTGAATATGTTTATGGTTGATGATGTGAGTAAACCCACTAACTTTGATCGTGAGACGGAGAATGAATACTCGAATTTACTACGGGAATATTTTTATGCTTGTAATCTGTCAAGAGAATATATTCAAGTTTAAACCAATCAAATTTGTGGTTCATCATCGGGTATTTATGAGTTGTTCAATAACTCTACCATTAGATGCAGTATACAGTGTAAATTGCGTATGGATTTAACGATTATTCTTGGATGTGTAGAGTTCCTCATACCAACACCATCGTTGCATGTCATTGCGAGTACCATGTATTGATATTACCTATTTACAAATCACGTCTATGTGCACGGTAAATGACTAAAAATCAAATTTCCAAATCTGAATAAGAGCGAAAACCGATTTCGTGAAACCAAGATCACTGGGATTGCGATGAGAGGACAGACCGAAGTTAAAGTTTCAGTAGACATTTTAGTAGAACAACGAGAATTAGGGGTTTTTATTAGAGTAATTCAATTATGCGAAGAATAAAAAAGATCGAAGAGTTCCGATGTGATTAAGTTATTGAAGTAAGTTTTATTTTCGATAGTAGAGATTTATTTATCGAGTTTCTACGATATTCAGATTTTTCTACGATATTCAAAATTTTTTACGATATTCAGATTTTCTACGATATTCAGATTTTTCTACGATATTCAAATTTTTCTACGATATTCAGATTTTTCTACGATATTCAGATTTTTCTACGTTAGTTTTGGAAAGCTACCATTACAATGTTCAGATTTGCCGCGTGTGACTATGTTAAATAATATGCATATAGAAATTACGATTATTGATATAGTAGATGTCTTATATCTTACTTATCACATAATAAGAATTAGTTATACATATCGTACTTATTTTATTGCTTACATTATCAAGGCCGTATAGTACATCCCTCATGACATGTATGATCGATATTTTCCTTTTGGGGACAAGGACTTAATGTCATGGCCGTTAATATAGGAATGAATTCATCCGAAACATACTGTATGGATTCACTGTCCGTTATTTGAATTATTTCTGACGGCGCGGCAGACGATTCTATATCGATGATGATGTCTTCCAAATTAGGCATATATAATATGTTTTGAGTATTCTCTTGAATCGTCTTTGATGGCACGGCAATCGATTCTATATCGGTGATGAAGTCTTCCAAATTAGGAATATATAATATGCTTTGAGTATTCCCTTGAATCATCTCTGATGGCACGGCAAACGATTCTATATTGGTGATGATGTCTTCCAAAGTAGGTATATATAATATGCTTTGAGTATTCCCTTGAATCATCCCTGACGGCACGGCAAACGATTCTATATCGGTGATGAAGTCTTCCAAATTAGGCATATATAATATGCTTTGAGTATTCTCGTGAATGTCTCTTCGGGATCGAGGACCGCGCTTTTTTCTTCGCGCGGAATAAGCACAGGGTTTATCGCTTATTAAACACCTATCACATTTTTCATTGCCTTCAATATGCTTACATCTTCTGTGTAAGTTTTGACATCCGATGCACGCGCTCGTTGCTTTTTTTGACTTTTTATCTTTTGGCATATTGATATTGGGCGAAATAAATTATGAAATTCAAGAAATCTGTTTGAAGTTAGATTATACCGATGTATCATATGCCTCAAAAAAGACAGAGGTATAATAAAATCTAACAGAAAGTATGCCGAACGAAAAATGGGGCAATCGAATAGAGAGGCCTTTATATAATTCTCTGATTTTCTGCGCATGTATTTTTTAGCCCTCCAATCCTTCAAATCATTCGAATCTCTTTGCCATAGGTGAGGTCATTTTCCCTATATTATTTCGAATCACATTCGTTTTCTTTGGGGTAAATTTGTTGCATGAATCATATGACTGTGCTTCATGACTTTTAGCCAATTGTGTCAATCTGTTCAAATGATCTCTATTGATGCTTTGGAGAGTAAGAGAGTAAACAATTGCAACGCTTCACGCAAGCATCGGAAATTTTTTTTTATTGACCCCATCAATCACAATAGTTTGTTTTTTTGAATCTATTTTTCCTAAGTTGAACCTATTTCGTAATTTCAATAATAGTTAATGAGTGAATTAAATTGGTATCATTTTTATTTCCGATTTAATGATTTAATTGATTTAATTCTGTCTTCGGTTATGTCATAAAATCCATTCTAAAAATTTGGGAATTTTGATTATTGGTTACTTAAAATAACCAATTGCTCATTACATTTTAAGACATAACAGACGGTCATCACTGTTATATAATCATTATCTTAATTTACCATACGATTTTCCTTTGCCACTCTTCTAAATGACCTTCTAAATGGCCATGATGTACCGTACGCCACATCTGCAGCACCAATGAGTGTCACTTGATCAGAACCTATGGCGTCCTTTCGTCCAAAATGAACGAAAGTAATGTTGAAATTTGCAAATGTATACTTCGTAATATAAATAAATCGGGCGTTGTTAGAAATTAATGATAAAAATAGACTCTAGATGTTTGAATGTCTATATTTACTCTATCTCTGATGCTTGATAATTAAAAATAGGTCACGACTCGTTAATAAATAAATAACCACTATAATTGCGCAAGGTTGACTGACTGAGCATCAAGAAGTTGCCTGCATATCGGCAATGAAGCACGAAACTTTTCAAAGCTTGTAACTTTTAAAGGCCTGGTATTTTATAACCGGATCCTAGTACCTGGAGAGTTCTCACCGATCACAAGAAATTATTTTTTAAGCTGTGAAACCGATAGACATTGCTGTCTATCGGTACGCTTGGAACATGAAAGTCGCTTATAGCCAACATGTGATAACACTCGAATCCAGAAATTAAAAGTTATGTGGAATACTATGCAATATATCATAGATACGTACTTTATTCTTATTGCCTTATTCATAAATATTAAATAAATTCAAAAAAAAAACGATAATACAGTATATAATGTGGTATGAGTGTTCACCGCAGAAATAATGGTGAAAAGATAGAAATAAAAACCATAACAATTTTCCTTGACTTTAAAGTAGAGGCTTACTTCATTGAATGGTGCCTATTGTTTGATGTGAGTGAAATCTTTAGAGTAAAAAAAATCATTATTACTGGTCATTTATACTAGGGTCATCCCAGAGTTCAAAATCGAGAATTTCCAAAGGATTTGCATGAAAGGTTGTAGTTTCATTATTTTGTGGAATATGATTATAATTATTAGTATACGGGAAATTACTGAAAATATGATATCCTTTATGTAAAGTCGTATCATGAGTGTTCATAGAGTTTATGGTGTCATAAGTAGTTGGTTGAATAGAAGATAGCGGAGGAAAGAAGTTGTCTGTTATTCAGAAGTATTTGTGAATGCCGCAGATATTAACGATGACTCATAATCACCAAGAATCATACAAATTTCGTACCTTTTAATGGATCGGCAGAATAGTCGTCCAAATTATGGTTAAAATTAGCAATGATGTTCGAATTAAGCGTGGCATCGTTTAACAAGAGTTGAGGTTCTACTAAAAATAAGTCTTTATAAGAATTGCCGTATTATGTTTCCTCAATAGTTTTATTACCTTGTACAATATCCCCTTTGCGAATTCTATCACCGGATGCTGGTTCTAGGGGCTGAAGGAGTTCGATCGAACTTCCTTGCCTTTCGTGATCATCGTCGATAATATATTTTAGTTTTGACCCACGTTTCTTTACTGTGATCGGATAAGAGCAAGTTAATCCACGCCCAGCGCACCTATCGCAAGTGGAATCACCGGAGCATCGTTTTTTTTCTTCTGTGCAATGCATGCATGCAATCGTTATACAGTTTTCTCTTTCCTTTTGCTGCTGGGACATACTACAAGAATTTTAACTAATCGAGTATATGTTGGCGACGCAAATAATTGCTTTGAAAGCTTATGGTAATAATATCAATTCAAGATATGTGAGAAACAGTTTCTTAATCATGTGTGTGTGAACGAAGTTTTGGGGGTTATTAAGAATGAAACAAAAAAGATTAAGTCTTTCGATGGTATTGTCTTGAAGGGGTATTTAAACCAAAATATAACACCGGAAAATATTTTTTTGCAAATTTTTAGGGTAACAGACGTATACGCAAGCAGGTATGATACATATACTTCAAATGATTCTATAATTTTTTTTCAGTATATACAAGATTTTTTTAAAAAAAAGAAGAAAAGAAAAGAAAAGAAATGGTAAGAGGTCAGGAAAATTCGAACAACGCTTTTTTATAACAAAAATTTATGTATGACAACGCATACCTGTTATATGCATGCCGCAGTATGATGACGTTTACAAGCCGGTAAATCCAAATCCGAGAGTAAAAATATTAAAGTTTTTGCAATAGAACTCGGATTTTTAATTACAAAAATCGATTTTTTTTCGCATCAGGTGAGCTTCTTAAACGAAAGGTGCCGTTTATTGTTACTTGGAAATCCTGGCTGACTAGTTTATTGCGCATTTACTCGTTGTTGGGAATTCGATCACGTGACTTTAAACATGATTACAGGATCAATGAGCAATTTACATAATTTATCTAAAAAAACAAACCAACCTACTATTCGGGAAGAAACTTCTTTGAATTGACTTTATTGAAAAATATTCTTTTTTCAAAATTTATGCAATAAAAAATGTAATTCTTAGAATATTATTGACGAATCATCCATGTTTTACAAGTTTGATTCTTGGATGTATGAAAAAAAACCTATAATAAAAACTTTGTTAAACTCTCGTCCTGATCCTGACTCGAAATATTCAACAAAAAGATCGTTGCTGATTTCCACCAAAGATTGACTCGAATTATCTTGTGTGTTACCAAATTCTTAATATAAAGAATTAAATTCTCAAAGGGATTGTCGAAAAATCGGATTATGTAATTGACAATGCGGGCCAAGAATGAATGTGATTGCACCACCGGAGAGATTAAGACGATTTACGTGGAATTGCTAATACCAAGTCATAATTATCGGAGTTGGGGATGGATGAACAGTTAAAAGGGTGTCACCAACTATCTCATTGATGTCATATCCACCACCATCACCACCAATCATTGATCAACATCGGACACACCAATCATTCACCTGCTCTGCACTCATAATAGTTCATATTTCATAAAATATAATTGATGCGAATTCAATATTTTCTCAAAATATAATCTGTTTTATTTCCCAACAACTTACAACACCCACAAACTACATAGAAAAAAAAAAAGGAAAATCGAGACGCAGAATTTTGTTCAACATACAGTATCTACTTATTTATTATCAATGGAATTACTTAAGGCATCACAACTGTCACCGATAATAAATTGTGGATAATTTTGATTCACGCCACGGTATCCCTTCTCACTCAACTCATGTTCACAACTATCAAAATAGAATTATGTGCCAATGAAGTATGTTTCTCTTTTTTCCATCGTACATGCTGAACATTATAATAATAAATATGCATATTGATGATTTTTCTAAAGGGTGCTAGGATAACGTAATTGAAAACCCTTCACGTGAAGAGCTTCTCCAGAGAACGAATGATGTAATTAATCGGAATTATAGTTACATGATCGGAGGCTTGTTGCCACTTCTTATGTTGCAGCCACTCCGAAAATCCGTAATTACGCCATGTGTTAAAAAATGTATGCAGAGTCCGTGTGACATGTGCGATAACCCATGACTTTGAAACCATAGGTTTCCAATTTGCCATGTGTTAAAGAAGCAGGGAATGTCGAAAAAAATAAAATAATAATAATAATATACAATACATTCTTCATAACAAATCCTTGCCATCTCTCGTTTTGGAACAGACTAGTATAGAGCTAATACAATATACATGTATGCATGAATTAGAACAATCGATAATTTATTCTCGGAACTGGTCGTCTTTAATGTTCAAATTATATAACCAAGTCTTTTTTTTTTTTTATCAAGCACCTTATCCACCAGGACATCAATATAACGAAAGTGAAAAAAAGCCCGACATCAAACTATTCGTCTTCAATATCATGACCTGTTTTTTAATAGGTTTCATTCCTAAATTTTTCCGAATATCAAGTAGTCACTCTTCATTATCTTTAATTAATGCGTTTATAAGTAATAATAATAATAATAATAATAATAATTTAATTTAAGAAATCCAAAAATCAACTTGATTTTATGTACGAATTTGTATTTGTATGCGGTAAATTATATATTTTTTGTTAAATAGGTTGATCCTAGTATAAAAAAACAATTTTTTCAATGGCTTCATCAATTTTTATTTTTCCTAAAGATTATGTTAAAATGAATCAAAACAATTTAAATTGTTAAACGAATAATCGGATTGAGATATACAACCTTTTCTTTTATACAAGAGTTTCATGGATTAATAAATTTAATTTCGGATATAATTTTTAAAAAAAGAAATTAAAAAACAATAATTTAAATGTACTGTATATACAGTATAATTTAATACATTATATAATTGTAATGAAAAGATGTTTTTTTCTCGTGATACGCTTCTTTAAAAACCCAACATGTTTCACAAAGAAGTCGTAACCGAGATACATCTTGGAAATGACAAATCATTTTTGGTAATTTTGAATTTCACAAGAGTGCCCTGCTTCCGAAAAATAATGGAAATTTTCCTTTCGTGAATTTTCAATAAATAATTCTTAATTTTCTCATTAGGAATTAAAAAAAATATGCCTTGTACTATTTAAGCCTTTAGCCGTATACCTTTAACCGCAAGCGTTCTTTTCTTCAGAATTACATTTTGAATGTGAAGAGAACAAACCATATGTTTAAATAATGGTATATATGGTATGTGAGAAATTATTTTGGAGGTTACTTTTAAAGAATTTTGTTTTAGAGAATTTGGAACATTTGTATTTATAAAATTGAATTGGTCGTAAAGTTATTGGTTGTTTGTTAATCACAGCCGTATTGTGTATTAAGACTGCAAAAGAATCAATATTTGCATGCATGCATACATACATTATCTTAATATATTATCATATAATAAACCAAATGTTTGAGAAAAACGTTAACCGAAGCGATACCGCATAGCACGGTCCATAATAACCCTCGTGCGTACCATTAAAATATAATAAAATATAGTGTATATCAATATGTTCATCTAGATTTATTGATCAAATATCATTAAAATATTTGCGCATATGTAAAGTTTCCTACGGGGTGCTATGGACCGCAGTATACAATATTTTGAATGAGATTTTTTCAAAAAAATTGGTTTTATAGCAAGCCACAATAGTTCCGTTATTTATCCGATCATGTAGACGTTATGTTGCATCAAAGGAAAGCTTCATCCATATACGGTATGTTTGTGGTTTCAAAATTATTTGTGTTATACACACAAGTCACGTTCTTAGACGTTTGAGAAGAAATTCTTCGCGCGCGTAAAAACGCATATATTCAGACATACAGTATGCAACATATTATTATAATTTTTCCCTTATATCGACAATAACCAACGAATTTCCAAAAAACAACAATCATAGTGGCATACATAGTATGCCTATTAATGGTCTATATTATTATTATAATCCGATCTTGTTCAGCAGTACAAGTATCGACGTTTTATTCCTTTAAATTCACAATCCGCAATATTGAGGAAAAGAGAATGAGGATGAACCAATCACAATATTTTCGATTACGCAATGAAATAACATTGATGAGAAGATTTTATGAAAAAAGGATAAAAGAGACGGATGGGGTAATTTTCTTATTACCATTGGAATTCTAGATTAATATAGTAATTCCTATTGGAAAATTGTAAATTATGCACGGATTTGTTTATTTATCACCAAATCTGTAGAATCCCTTACGTCAAACTACAATATGTTGCATTACTAATATCCTGATGTCAATATAACCTATTTTGTAAATAGAGCATTTCAATTGTGTGTGCATGATCTAATGGATTAACTGAAATAGGATTTGAGCATTGTAGCGAAGAATGAACATGATTAATTGAAATAGGATTTGAGCATTGTGGCGAAGAACAAACATGATTAATTTGATCCTGTGAAATAATCAGCAAAGGCAGACTAAAGTTGAACGTTCGGCATATGTTTTCGCGAAACAACGAACAACAGGACCTATTCAAGTCCGCGAAAATAAGGAACTAATTTGATTATTTAGTCAACTAAGTTTCAATGTAAATTAAAAATATGCAAATTATTAAAAAACCATAAAATAAATTTGGTAAACAGAATTCAGATGGTAAATTCATTATTATAAACAGATAGATACAAATGAATTCGGAATATGCCTTTTTGCCAATTTTTTATTTATTGAATTCTACAATATTCAGATTTGCCGTGTGTGAATTTAAAGGTGAGATACGATAATATTAATGTTTTCGACTTGTGCCAAAAACTTATGGTGTTCTTTAAATAGAAAAATACTATTCTAGCATATACTTATTTACTTATCGTTATATTGAATTTAATTTAAGGATTTAAATAATTGATTTTTTTTCGTTTGCAGTATATCTTGTGCCATACTTATTGTAATATTGAAGCCACGATTCATATACTTTTCGTTGTAATTTCATCGTATGATGCATCCCCTGTGGCATACATGCTCAACATTTTGTCTTTGGGGACAAGACGTTGATGCCACTGCCATCAAATTTTCCGGAAAGCACTGGGAAGACTCAACATCGAGGATAAGTTCATCTAAATTTGGTGTTGGTTTCATCGGTAGTCGAACATTCTTGTGAATATTTCTTTTATTTTGGGGTTGAGGTCCGCGCTTTTTTTCCGATAAGAGAAAAATGCAAATAGTATTTCTTTTTGAACATCTCCTGCATCTTGTTTTATTTTCGATGGGCACGCATTTCCTATGTGAGTCTTGACACCCGGTGCACGCGTGTGTCGTTTTTGTTCTTGGGCGTAGCGGCTTATTTTCTTTCATATTGGATACAAAAATTATAAGAGTTCTTTTTATTCTTATAAACTTACAAAAAATATAGATACGAAAAAAAAAAATGTGGCATTTATATATTTTTTTTTGTGGAATTTTTTTGCCTCAAATCTCAATAAATTCAAATCTTTGAGATCATTTTCTATCTTCTTGCATGACTATTGTATATTATTACACTTTGCCTTAAATAGTCAAATTCCTTTTTTGGGTTATTCTATTAGCTGCATGAACATTATGACTTGAAATACGAAGCACCTTTGCGCGATAAACGAAAAATCGCAAATCATGACGCCAAGATGATTTTCGATTTAAATTCTATTGTAAAACTATATTATAGATTTTCATCCATGACTATTGGACAACCTTCACATTTGTACGACTATTTATTATAATAATTACTTTATTTATTTAATTTTTTTAATAAAAAGTTTATTTTTTATATTTACTTTATATTTTTATTTTATATTTCTTATTTCTTATTTTTATATTATATAGTATTGTCTAAAAAGTCTTTGGACAATTATCTATTTATTTGTTATAAAATTTTGAAGCTATATTTTTTTTAGAATATGAAAATCAAATATTAAAAAATTTTTGATTAATATAAATTTATATTTAACGTTAGTCAAAAAAAATTATTTACAAGATTAAAAAATATTTATCTAATTAATCCAAAAATCATAAGAATGTTTTTTATAATGTACAAATTAATTTTATAAACATTGATTTATTTTTTATCTAATTTCAATATAATTTAAAAAAGATTTGTGGTTTATACTAATTTTTGCTTAATTTATTTGATTAAAAGATTAATTAAATTACTTAAAATTTAATAAAAGTCATTATTCAATTATTTTTATTTTTATTTTTATTTTACAAATTAATAAATTAAAATTATCATAAGGAATTTGTTTGTTTATTTGTTTGTTATAATTTAATTAAATTAACATTTTTTAAAAAATCTTATCTTGATATAACAATTAATTTTATTAAATTTTATTAAGTAAATATGTTTTTATATTTTTATTAATATGTATTTAAATTTTTGTTTTGTTTTATTAATTAATTATTTATTTTAATTATTTTATCTGATTAACTATTTAAAGCTTATCTAATAACCTTTATTATTATTTAGTTTATATATATATATATATATATATATTATAAAAATTATTATTTATAAATTATGATAAATATATATTAAATCATATCAAATTATTTCTATATTAACTTGTTATTATTAATTCAATTTGAAAAGATTGAATCAAAGATTGATATATTAAAATATTATTAATATCATTATTAAAAATAGATCCTTAAATTAAAAACAAAGATATAATTCAAATGTTTTTTATTATTTATTTTAAATATAAGATCAAAAAAAACTATTTATAAAGATTTTTTACAATTTAGATTACTTAATTCAAATGTTTTTAAAATTATGTTTCTATTAAAGTAATAAGTAAACAATTATATCCCTTTAAAAGAAACATAATTAATTTATAAAATTTTATATATTAAATAATTTAAGAACTTATTTTTAATTGTTTTTTTTTTTTTTTTTAATCCCGCAATCAGGTTGGTGTCGTTTATTTATTTAATCATAAAGAACCATTACAAGTTG